AGTGGATATGAGTAACTTCCTTAAGGTCAGACGACTGGTAACGACTTCAGCAAAAAACCCTTGGCTGAAACATCTTGATGTGGGATGTGCTTGCTGGCACTGCTACTCCCCACTCTACCCTGCTGACCTTCAAGACAATTCTTATTTGTTTTGCTAGTAATCTTTATGAAAAAAAAATGAACACAGAAGAACATCAAGTTCATCTTTCCTAGACCGCTCCAAGAAATCACTGTTAGCTGCACTGAGTTGTCTTATTCCTATTCAGCTGCAGATCAAATTCTACAAAAATATTAAAGTTATTTCAGCAGTCCTATCATATCCGTACATTGATTGTCACTAGATGATGTAATGTATCCAGATGTCACCTCATGATGTCTCCTGTTGCTACATGAATGATATCCTGGCACTTCCTTGTGTGTCTGGCTTATGCCCCATCACAGGAGAGATTCAGTGGGTCTTGGTACTGGTAGTACCTGGTACAGAACTAGTGGGTTTTCTCCAAATGTCTTTTGTAGCTCTAAAGCTCTTTTGAATCCTGATGAAAGTGGCTTTCTAGATGGAAGCAATATTTCTGCTGTTTATAAGAACAAGAAGAGACAGTAAAGCCAAAGTAGGCTTTTTGAAAGGGACAATCTTTTTGACTGAAATAAAGCTGGCCTCTGTAATCACTTTGGGGTCCCTCATTGAACTGCAGTTAGTGGGAACCTTTAGCTGGAGATTTCTGCTTAAGCAAGTTTTATGCATTTCCTATGATTAATTCTCTGGGACCCGAATGAGTTTCTGAGTGTTAAATGTGGGTTTGAGTTATTTATATTCAGTGTCATTATGTACGAAGGTGGGAATTTTAGGAGGTACAAATGAGGATAATGATGTGCTAATTTCCTATTAGTACCCTTAAAGTTTTGATGCAAATCTTATGAGTAAATGAAAAAGGGAACATTTCAGTTTCAAGCAGCAAAACCTTTTGGTGTCCTAGAAAATGGGCATAGTCCCAATATTTCAAATTCGTTTTCTTTGCTTTATTGTGGTATTCTGAATTAACACATTGTTTTTTTGTTTTATTTTTTAATGACATATAACCTATTTTAAGAAGATTTTATTTAATTAAAATCAATACATAGTTTTTGTGTGAGTTTCTGGATAAAGTACTAAAATAATTGTTTTTATTCTACCTTCCAGAGAAATTTTAAGGTTAAAAGAAATTTAAGGCTAAATGTCATTTTGTTTTGAATTACTTGTGAGAACATCTTTTTTTTTTTGACATTTATTCTGCAATTAAGTCATGGTTCTTACGTTCTTACAGCCAAGTAATGATGTAATCATTGTAAGTTCAATAATCAAAAGGGGAAGTCAAATAATGCAACAAAAATTTAATAAAATCTTTCTTAATGGCAATTCTGGGAAAGTAAATTATAAAACACCATATTTGTTAGTTTGCAGGTGATGTCTATGTGCATGGGGCAGATCTGAGCTTGTCCTGGAAGCCAAGAGGAAACAGGTATCCATGAGGAGTAGTTCCATACCTATTGAACCTATGTGTTAGTGGGGAAGTAAGAGGTAATAAAACAACAGCTAGTAAACTCAAGAACAAAGGACATATGCATTTGTAGGATTTTCTGTTCATGAGTTATAGTCAATGCTACAATTTTTATTTTTCTTGTGATTTATGTTGGAAAAACTCTCAAAGAGCTTTATACTATAGAAGTAATTTTTCCATTTGGAGAACTGGAGAATTCCAGACACTGAAAA